CATGATTCTGGGGATGTAATACTTCTTTGATTCCATGAATAACTTAAACCATGAAACGAGTTGTAATGCTGAATAATTAGAGCTAATATTTGCGCAGTATTTTATAGTATTTTACGCAGCGGTTTTACACTCATTTCAATAGTCTTTGCAAGAACCTCATGTAGAAGAGATTATTATACTATTGTTGTTGTAGGTGAAGAACCGAGACTCAGAGCTACAATGACTTGCTCTAGCATAATGGGGGAGTGAGACCGTGCTTCATATTTGTGCGGCTCTTTCAAACTCTTCTCTAGGAGCTCATCATTTACCACTTACACTAAGCATCTTCGGAGAATATCAGTAGGCCACATTTTTATCTTAGCCTACTCTGTGCTACAGATCCTCAAGACTGTGTCTTAATCTTTATCAGTAAGTCCCAACCTGCAACGCTCTGGGAGAACAACCCCAGCAAATAGCCAAAGCCATCATGGTAGACGCCCACACACCTTCACTTTGGTAGAGAAGAGACAGTCCTGGAGAACCCGGTCATGGAGGAAGACAGGTGTCTCTAAGAGCAAAAGGCCATCCAGAGTGGCCACAGACGGAAAGAGGACCACCTTCCAATGCCAGTCTCCAAAGCAGGAAACATCCCAAGTAAGAGCCAGAAAGAAAGTTTGCGAGGCCCATCGCCTCATGAGTACTTATCCAACTGGCATCTCCCCTCTGTCTTCATCTGAGAGACCAAATCTCGTAATCTTCCCTTGCTCTGCCCCTACCAGACCCTCCTGGAGGGAGTGAATTCAGATCTCACCACACTCACGGGCACCACTGCAAACTATGTCGTGTCCCAGGGAGGTTTCACTTTGAGATGATCTCTGAAGATGTCAAGGGAGACATTGTGTGTTTGTGTGTGTGTTTGTGTGTGTGTGTGTTAAAATAAGCCTAAACTTTATAATATAGACAGCATACTAGTTTTAAATAATAAACATGCTTTGTAAATTATTGCTTGAGCTCCCTTAGGCCTGGAATCCTTCTTAGCACCCTCCTTTATGAATTCTGTTCCTAGTATTTTAGTACTTTCACATCTGGATTTTTTGCTGTACTCCTCTCTCCCTTCATATTGGTTCCCCATCTCCTCCTTTATTATTGGGGAGACCTTTCCTATCCCTTGAACTTAATAAGCAGCTTCTTTACCCGTAGAAACTGCCTAGAATCATCACCTGCCGGATTGCCTTATTCTCTCTGATATGAGCTCCCAATCCATAGTGGAGAGTGGCAAGGATCTGGCAAGTTCCTTGGGACTGACCCAGCAGCAGGTCACATTAGGAGTGTAGGCATGGAGTTACCAGACAGAACATGGAAACCAGAGTCCCCGGCTTCCCTAAATACAGTCCTGGACTGCCAACCAGGCTTCTCTCCCCGCCTTTTAGCTGTGAAAACACTGCTGTACCCATGGGAGCTCTAAGACTCTGCTCATCCTCAGGTATAAGTGTCAGTGCGCTCTTAGCTGGACGAGATTTCTCTTGGTCTCAACTCTCTCTTAGCCAGATCACTATTTCATTTAAAAAAAAAAAAAAAAAAAAAAGCTGTACTTCTCCAGTGTCACCAGTTTGTCTTTATTTTCTGAACACCAAATCTTGAAAGAGACTTTTTTTTCCCTTTGCTTTGGCACTCAGAAGCTTAGATCCTAATTGATCTCCAACAGATGTGAGGATCTTATTGCCTGGATGACCTATAGTTCATGTACTACTTGCCTCTCTACCTTCCTCTTACGATTCTGCTTTTATTTTCCTCTTCCCCTCACTTTCATTATGTAAGCATTTGCATTTTCTAATAGTGTATAATAACTTTTCTGAAATTCTTTTTTTTTTTTTTTTTGCTGTACGCGGGCCTCTCACTGTTGTGGCCTGTCTTGCTGTGGAGCACAGGCTCCGGACGCGCAGGCTTAGTGGCCATGGCTATTGGGCCCAGCCGTTCCGTGGTATGTGGGATCCTCCCGGACCGGGGCACGAACCCGTGTCCCCTGCATCGGCAGTCGGACTCCCAACCACTGCGCCACCAGGGAAGCCCTATCTTAAATTCTTTTATTGAACAAGATCAAATATTAAAAAATAATCCTCACAGTGATTAACTAAGCCATCTCATTAGTAACATGGTTCATAGAAATGTGTTTTGTATGCACTTGGGAGCTGTTTGAAAAGATTGGAGAGGCTCTGTCATGAAGAATGTAGCTGGGGGTGTAGTAAAAGCTCTTTGGGTGAGGGTCTTCCCAAGTGGAGCCCGAGGTCTAATACAAAACAACCATGGTCTCTACCCAGTGCCCATCTGTGTGATGCTAACTCACTTTGCAGACCTTGAACCAGAATATACTTCCATGAATTCTTGTCCCATTGGAGGGGAGCGATAAGCATCATTTTTTTTTTTCCATGAAGGAGATGAACTATTTCTGTGTTTATTCAAGGAGCTTGTATTGAAATGCATGTTTTCTAGGTTCCATGGGACTGGACTTGACCCCTAATACTACATAATATCCCATAATTATCAATTATTGTTCCAGACAGTTCCTGTTTGGGATGTGAGACATCTAGAGTACATCTAGAATATTTCCAGTTTGTTGACCTGGGTTGTTGTTAGAATCATGCTTCAAAATATTGGGCTGCATCAGCCAACCAGCTTAAGTAACGTTTTGAACAGAACTCTGCAGCCAGCTAGTATTTGGATGTATTTCCACGTGTGTTTATTTCAGTCTGTTACTAATTTTAAAGGCTTAATGTATTTCCCACCCAGGCACTCTGACAGTAAAATCCTACACAAGTCAGACTTTTAGGAGGAAGCTAAATCCATTCAGGTCTCTTGTGACATGTTAATAGCACAAAGCTAGGGAAATTAAGAATATTTAACTTCCATTAAGGCATTTTATATGAAAGTCAGGGCTGCTACTAAACAGTAGAATCATCTTCCTACAAGAAGTGCCTCCGGGTCTGAGTTGGAATTGTTCATTAAATTGGAAACAGATTATTTCCTAGAGACCCAGGAGGATTTGTGAATGTTGCCCAGTGGCAGGGATGGGCTGTACCAGTTCTGAGTTTTAATCTGGCAGAACCTGTCTCCTACAGGGCTTTGCTCAAAAGTACTTTAAAAGAAAATGTGCATAAAGGCAAGGGAGGAAGAAAATGACAGAAAGAATAGGGACGATCCTTTTGGAAGAGAGGAGCATGGTGTTTGCCTCCTATTGTGTGTGTGTGTGTGTGTGTGTGTGTGTGTGTACATGTCATACATGCCCACACATTCATATATTCCAAGATAGGCAAGGTCTAAGAGGTATCTTTTCCAACTTTCTGCCCAACTCATTTTTATAATATTTTTCAGGAGTAATATACCATATTTCTACTTAAACACCACCAGTGACAGGAAACACTATTTCACAGGGCAAATCACCCAATATGCCGACAACCCTAATGGTTAGAAATTTTTTCACAACACTGAATGAAGATCTTCCTCATTATTTCCTCATTGGTTCTGGTTCTCTTCCCTAGAGCCACATATAACCTACCTCATTCGTTTTCCATAGAGAATTCTAAGTAAGTATTTGAAGGCTGTTAAGATAATTATCATGATGATGATGGTGGTAATTATCATGTAATGTGCCTTGAGCACTTCCTATAAGTACGGTGCTAAACACTTTCTATTTTTATTCATTAATATTCATGATTGATGAAATAGATACATTTCAAAAATTCTTTTTACAGATGAGAAAACTGAGGCTTAGAGAGCAAAGTACCTTGCCTTGGATAACAGAGCTAACAGGAAACAGAGCTAGGATTGCAAACAGCCCTCCCTAAGCAGACTCTTTTCTACCTTCACGTTAGTGACTTATACTGTGAATGTTGTCTGCAAGTGTATGAGTTATTTTCTCAGAAGGGGGGATTATGGAGACTAGATTATACCACCTTCTGCACTTAAGGGAACTGCTTGCTATGTATTTTCATGCACAACATCATCCTTTTCGTATATTCCTCTTTCACCACATCTTTCTTAGAGTGGCTTATCTTTTTAAATGCCTATAGCAACATAAGTACTGTCAGAAGCCATGTGGATAGAAAATTACATCCCTGCAGTTCCCTTTTACTGGTCCAGTGATTTTTCAAGTTGATCCTTCACAAGCTGAGGTGTCTGAATCATGAGTTAGAAAAATGCCTTCCAAAGAGCACAGTACCCAGCATCAAATCACGGCTCCGTAAATATGTGTAGAATAAATGAATGGACAACGGCCTCCTGAAGAAGATGGTTAATGTCTAGAGCTGAGAGCAGTAGAAATTTTGCTATTTACTTAAATAATAACTACATTTCCCCTATTTTTCCAGGTTGGGATTGCAGATATGTAACAAATTTGTTACACCCTTGATTCACCCTTGCAAATGCCTCAGGCTGCAGTTTCATTGAGAAAACTTTTTGGTTATTATACCTTTCCGTTTCTACACTTCATGAAGTACCTAATTTCGTTACCATTGAAATGTCAAATTGCAAGAGCCTCCGACTTGCCTGGGAAACATGACCTCCTGTACAGGCTAAGAGGGTTCCTGGGAGTATAAATCTGTTTTCTAAACTCTTTTCCTCAGGAACTTTAAGAAACTTACCTTTTTGGATAGGTATTTTAATAATGCCCTCTCTGTTCTGCTTGTCCATTGACATGGTATGTTCCCACATCAATGGAACAGAAACAAAGCGAAGCTGAAATATTAACCGTAAGGATTCAGGGGATTAGTGAAGGGGAAAGGGAAGAAATTTGTAGAATATACGTAAACTCTGCCTCCTATGACTAAAATACCTAATTCTTTGAATAAAAAATAGTTGCTAAGTTATCACTCATCACCTGGTATAAAGATACTTTCTATTGGGCCTTCTGATGTAGTTATAGGAGTTCAGTGGTATTTATGCAAGTTATTAAAAAATGTCCAATCTTTTAAGAAGCTTGTTTTTTATACTGCTAATGGTATTTGGTTTTGTGTTGCCTCTCCTAGGTTTGCTGGGATGGGAAACCTGCTCAAAGTCCTTACCAGGGAAATTGAAAACTACCCACATTTTTTCCTGGATTTTGAAAGTAAGTTCCAAAAATTTAAAGATTATGGTGAAAACGTTTCACTTTCTTTATAGCTTGTTGATAGGGAAGTTATAAGATAAAGATTGTGTGTGATACTTAAACCACATCCAAATGTCACTCTGCATTTCTCTGAGTCTTCAAAGGTCATTTCCTTCTTTCTTTTCATGCATTTTAAAAACACCCCAAAGAATATCTTTTTAATACGCCCAGGCTTTTCTTTGATTTTAGAAGCAATCAGTTATTGTAGGCCTAACATAAATCATCAACATGTATTTTCCTAATAATTTTCAAGATCTTTTATGTCTTATTCCAAAGAAAAACAGTATACATAGTAATTGACACAGATTAATATAGAACAGATATCACTAGACGTAAAAGAAAAAGTGATATATACAAGAAATGAGGCTTACAGATTTTGTATTTTTGAGTCATCTCTGTTCTTTTATATTATTTGATAATACAAAACTGTTCCAGGAGTTTAAGATATAACTTTCATTTGAAAGGTTATTTTTCTTTTATCAAAAACTTTAAATTTTTTCCTAAGGCAAAATGGCTTATGAATCATGACTAAATACATACAGAGATTCTTTCTTATCTTGTTATTTTTTGATTGACTATATTTATAAATGAATGACACATTCATGTTTAATCAACTAGGCTCACATTTCTACACTCACTCCTGTGTTCTCCTCTTTTTGAATTGCAGTTCCACAATGCTAAGCATAGTTAAATGTCCTTTGTCCAGTAGTCATCTGTTCCAGACTTTAATCTGCTTTAAACTGTAATATTTCAAGTATTTTATTTATATTAAAAATAAGTTGGAACTTCCTTACATATACATTAAACCTTCTGACAGAGATTTTCTAAGTAAATGCTAGAAGACCCTTCTAAGATACAGCAAACCAAATGATGAAAGCTCCTTGGATGTATCTTTTTAAAGTCTTTGGTATGTCTAAAATACCTACTTGAAAAGGAAAAGTGTCCCCAAAGCTCTTGCATTCTGAAAAAGATTTTTACTGTAGATTATATTCAACGAAAGAGATCTCACTTCTGATTTAACTCGATTTGCTGTTGTTCTTGATATTTGACTGGGTTTGGCTGGACTTGATTGGGTGTGGTTGGTTTTGGTTGGGCTTGGTTGGTTTTGGTTGGGCTTGGTTGGATTTGGTTGGGTTTGGTTGGATTTGGTTGGGTTTGGCTGGGTTTGGTTGGGTTTGGTAAGAGGTACAGCTGGGAACTCAAGAGCCAGATTGATTTGATACTTCACAAAGAATGGGCTTTTTTTACTTGTGTGACTTTTGCTACTCCTCTGTAATATACATATATCTTTGTTGTTGTTACAGGAAGATTTATTAATAACTTTAAAGAATTGTTACAAAATAAATTACCCATTATTCCAGCACCCTAATTTTACTACTTGCATTTTTAATTGACCCCTTCCACTTCTTGTCAAATGCACTTTACACTGTTTCATTCAACATGCACAGAGGCCCAAATGGTGGTAAAACACCCTATTCACTCACAACTTCAGGGACATATAAACACCTAGGGGAGTTAGGTGCCTGTTCTTTTATGGAAGCCCTAAAGTCCACATGCATGTGTGTGTGCTTCTCACAACGACTACCAGAGGGACCCCATTGGCCTATTTCGCTGTTCTTGAATTTTGGCTTTCCATGCTTCCACATAGAATAGGCTTGAGTCCTTTGTCAAGTCTAATATCAAAATCCTTTAAAGTGATAAAAGTAAAATCTACAGGAATTTAAAGCAGTTTTCAACTGATGTCCTCTGGAGCAGCAGTGTTCTGAGGCCACAGCTCAGGGGATCCCCTTCCCCACCACCATAGCAAAGGGGCTTCACTTCCTCTCTGCTACAACCCAAGGACTCTGATCTGCTCAGTCTTGTACTTTGGACATTTTCTTTATATGTTATTTATGGGAAGGTCATGGTGGCTGAAAAGAACATTTAAATATCTTGAATTTTGATAACAGCTTATGGTACCAAAATTCCATTTGTAGATATACTGTAATTTCTCTAAGAGGGGGAAGTGTGGAATGGGTTTCCATGTCTGGTGGCTCACTACTAGGACTAGAACTATAGTATTTAAGGAAAATAATTAAGGAAAATAAATAAATTTATAGAAATATATAAAATCTTGTTTATTTCCCCCTCAATACTAAGAAGAGTAACATTATTTCACTGAGACTGAGAAGATAAATCACTGGGCTGAAGTCTCACAGGGAATGATTGGGGAACTGAGATGGGAACACAGATGTCTTTGGCTTTCTTCCTCCCTCTGCTTTGATTCCCTTAAGTGCTCATCACAGACAGCTTCCAGGAAGTGCCACAGCCATCATTCTGTTCCTGATTAGAGAGAGAAGTCTTAATCATCTACAAACTAAGATGTCTCATGAAAAAAAAAAAATTGGTTTCTTGATCCTGCAAATCGTATTTCCTAAAGTTGGCTTTCAAGAAAAAAGGGTGATGGACTGGAAGCGTGGGGAAGATGGGCTGTGGGCATGATTTTTCCTTGACTATATAGATTTCAGCTCAGTACGGTAACAGTATACTGAGAATGGTTATGAGCCTTCGTGTAAGCCAGGGTGCCATCAGGGAGACAGAGCTAGACAAGAGCAGCCTTTGCCTAATGAAGCCCCAGGCAGGTGTGGAGGACAATACAGGCACACAGTTCAAGACAAAGTAAAGTAAGGGGCTTAGGAGAGGCACGGTGTGGCCTGGGAGTAGAGGGAGAAAGCATACATCAAGTTTCAGGAAATGGATGACTACAGAAGGAATTGGGGAAGTCTTCTTGCAAAGGTGGCATTTGGAATGGACTTAAAACAATGAGTGTTTTTTCTACAGATCTCGAAGACTTTTCCAAAGAGAGTAGTTGAAATCCCTGAGGGAAAACTAGAGCAGGCAAGAGCTTGAGGGGATGGGAACTTCAGGTGTGCTTATACTTAAAGGGAGGTTGAGTAGTTAGAGGATCCAGGAGAGAAAGGCCACACTGAGGAGGAACCTCATCTTACTCAGTTGAGATTCCTGATGGCAGGGCTTGGGCCCCACCCAGTTTGGCGACCCAGCACTCAGCCCGCATTGAGCCTGGACTATGGGACAATGAATGAGCCTGAGTAACAGATGCTGGCCACGTGAAGAAACAGAATAGAACAGGCTAGATCAGGCAGCCAGGAGACACAGACATTCAAGTAGGAGGGAGTGTAAATGGATTCAAATGCTAAGAGTGGTCAAGAAGGAAAAAGCTTGAAAAGGGGATGACAGATTGGGCAGTTAACTGCCCAACAGATTCAGGATTTATCACTTTGAGTACAGAGGCTGGATTACAAGAGTTAAGGAGGAAGAAGTAGAAGGAGGAAGGAAGGCTGAACAGTATACGGCAACAACTCAAAGGCCTTTGGCACCTCAACTTTGAGTGTTGAATATTCTTTTTGAAGTCACTGATGGAATGTAATTGAACTGGGTCAAATAGATATAATTAGGTTGGGTCAAAATATAATACAAAATTAGACACATCTGTCCTTAGGTTTTCCAGTTGTGTGGATCTGATTTAAACTTTTTGCCCTTTGCAGCGGGTTTTACAGTTTATGGTCACGTTTCTACGCAATCACTTAACATCTTTTTATTGTTGTTTTTTCATCCCACTACTTTTTTCTTTCCATGAACAGAAGTTTTACATTTTGATGAAGTGTTATTTTATCATTTTTTTCCTTTTTTACTAAGTTCATGCTGTGTCTTCTTTAAGAAATCATGCCTATTCCACGGTCATAAAGGTATCCTACTACATTTCCTTATGAAAGTTTTAGAATTTTAAACTTTACATTTAGGTCAATGATCAATCCTTAACTAATTTTTGTGTATGTTATGAGAGAGGTGTTGGGTTTATTTTTTTTTCATGTGATATAAAATTATTCTAGCACAGGGAGATTGCTTTAATGCCCTTATCATAATTTAGTTAACTATAATATGTATCGGGCTACTTCTGGACCTTTTATTCTCTCTCATTGCTTTATTGATCCCTTTCACCAATTAATACCAAAACGTAACAACTAATAAAGTCAGGAAGAGTAAATCCTTCAACTTTGTTCTTTCTCAAGATGTTTTGAGTATTCTAGCTCCTTTACTTTTCTAAATAATTTTATTTATCTTTCATAAGCCTTTAATGTCTACAGAAAATCTTGCTGGGATATTGATTATAATTACATAAAATCTAGGGATCAATTTGGAGAGAATTGACATCTAGGTAGTATTGATTCCTCCCACCTATGAATATGGTCTATCTTTTCATTTGTTTAGATATTCTTTAATTTCATTCAGCAGTGTTTTATAGTTTTTCGAGGTCCCACATATCTTTTGTTAAATATACCTTCAAGCCTGCCATATTTTGACCATAACAACTTTCTTATGCTTAGTGTTTGCAGTGGTATATATTTCCCCATTCTGTCTGCCTTTATCTTTATAGCGTGTTTCTCATAAACAACACATAGTTGGCCCAATTTTTTTCATCCAAGCTGATAATATCTACCTTTTATTGGCGTGTTCAGCCCATGTACAGTTAATTACTGTTTGTATTTGAGTGTATCTTGGTGTTGTTGCCATTTGTTCCATTTCTGCTCTTGGTTTCTCAATGTTTTCCTGCCTTTCGATTAAATCAAATAATCTTTAGTATTCTCTTTTGTCTTTTATGTTGACGTTTTAGTTATGCTTCTTGGTGCTTACTTTGGAGATTATTATATACATCTTTAACTTATTGCCATCTGTCTTCAAAATGTATTCTTTACTTCATGAAGAATTTAAGAAACTTATCACAGTACACATCCAATCACCACCCTTCCACCCTCTGTGCTCTTGCTATGTGTTTTGCTTCTATGTACCTATGTTATAAACTCCTCATTACAATATCTTTTTTTAACTTTAAACTTGCAATAGTCTCTTAAACGTGTATATGTTTGTATTTGTAATCTTAATAGATCTTTTATATTTTCTCA